GGGGCCCCTGCCTGGTGCAGAGCCCTTCTTCCCCAAGGCCCCGCTCTGGAAGCTGGCTTTCTGGGTGAGCCTGGCCGCGCTGGGGCTCCTGCTCCTGGGGGCTGGCTACTGCGCCCACAGAGAACATTCCACGAGACTGCGGGCGCGCAGTGACCGGGAGACTCTGCTCCGGGCTAAGGAGGAAGACCGGCGGGCAAAGGAGGCGGCGCTGACGGCCACAGGTGAGGCAGGGCAGGCCCAGGCGGTGGGTGTGGCAGCCGTGCTGAGAGGGGCAGGCCCAGGGCGGCGCCAGCCCTCGGGGAGACCTCCGCGGAGACCCAGAGAGGGCTCCGCAGGCTGGGGGTTTGCAGGGGGGACCTCAGGCTAGAGCGGCTCTCTCCCGCTCGCTGTCGCTCCTCTCAGGGATGGCAGCTCATGCTGGTTCTCACTCTTTCAGATGAACTGCAGGCCCAGCTCGGTAGGTTCTGCTCCCCCTGACCTCCCTGCCCCGTGGGAGACCCTCGGGGCTGGCTCACCTGTCCTGTGTTTTCTCTCAGACTGGAGGAGGAGCGTGTACCTGGCTGGTGAGTGACTCCACGGTCCTCGTTCTCCTGCCCCAGCTGGCCCAGTGTCCCTCTCCCGGCTTCTGTCTGGGCACACACGTGTGGACCCTTCCGGGGGGCAGAAGTGGGAGCTGGTGGGAGGCAGCCCCCTGCTCCGCGAGCTCCCCTGACCAGGCCCCCCTGACCGACCCGGCTGCTGCTGTTCTCCACCCAGTGCTGGGGAACCGGGCGTGATGGCGGCTGGGTCTGCCAGGCACCTGGTCTCATTCCAGCCCTGACCACCCTGTACAGCCTTCAATGCGCGGAGCTCGGTCAGCACCTGGAAAGGGCCATGTAAATAAGTGGGGTCATTAAGTGTAGGATTGTGAGCTCCTGCCTTCCCCTAAAACACCACCCAGAGAGTCTGTTTTCTCCACTTCCTGCGGGTGCTGATCAAAAGCGATTGGGGGAGCCCTGGCCAGTGGGTTCAGTGGTTAGAACATTGGCTCTCCCACCAAAGGATCACAGGTTCAATTCCCGATCAAGGGCGCCTACCTGGGTTGTCGGGTTGATCCCTGGCCCCGATTTGGGCGCATCTGGAGGCAACCAATGTCTCTCCTTCTCCCCCCCTCCCCGTTCCTCTCCCTCCCTCCCTCTTTTCCTCCCTCCCTCCCTCCTTCCCACTTTCTCTAAAAATCAATGGGAAAAAATATCCTACAGTGAGGATTACCTGGGTTGTCGGGTTGATCCCTGGCCCCGATTTGGGTGCATCTGGAGGCAACCAATGTCTCTCCTTCTCTCACCCCTCTCCCCCACTTCTCTCCCTCCCTCCTTTCCTCCCTCCCTCCCTCCTTCCCACTTTCTCTAAAAATCAATGGAAAAAAATATCCTACAGTGAGGATTAACAGAAAAAGTCACTGACCGCTCAGGGGACGGTGCCGGATGGGTGTCCGCGCCCGGAAAGGGGCCGTGCTGGTTACCTGTAGAAACTGTTTATGTGAGGCAGGTTGGCCGCTTTAGCCCAGATCTCACCTCACATCCCCGTCCTTAAGTTAATTCCCATTTTGAGTTATTTTCCAACTAACCCTTTGTCAGAAAAAGATTGGATATGAAAGTGCTTTCTTACAATTACAGAATAATTTATATTTTATTTCCTAAAATATTTCCACACATAGTGTACCTTTTCATCCTGAAGAGCAACGGTGAGTAGTAGCAAGTGAAATGGGAGTTTCTGAGGTTGTTTTGGCTCAGAGCAGCTAGGTGACTGGCCAGAGGCTGCACAGCAGCAGCCCACCTGCCACGGGGTTTCCCTCAACCCCTGCCGGGCACTCTCCCTGTAGGCTGTCTCCCCTGGGGAGCCGGGCAGCCAGAGGTTCCTGCTGTGCAGGGTGTTGTGGCCGAGGTCTCACCAGGTGTGTTCCCTTTCAGCCTGGAGGAAGGCCCAGCTGTATGCAGGTAAGTGACTCAGTTTCCTGTGGCTTCACCTCCCCAGCCTCGACCCTGCCCCCTTCTCTGTCAGTGGACCGCACCCCAGGGTGGGGTGGGCGAGCCTGCTCTCCTGTCACTTTTGTGGCCGCCATCTGAAGGGTGCCAGGACTCCTCCCTGGGAACACACACCTGCCTCCGTCTGGCCCACCCTCCACCGCAGGTCCCCCCAGGGCTAGCAGCACTGCTGAGCTTACCTTGTTGTCCTGAGGGCGGAGGGGTGGTGAGGAGAGATCGCAGGCCGGGAACACGGTGCCCATTTGCCGTCTCTCTCTAGGTTTCAGAAACCCTGCTTGCCTGGGTAGGACTCAGGTCTTCCTAAGGGTCCTTGGTTTTGGATCCTTCTTGCCCTGAAATCCCTCCCTTTTTGGACCTAGCTTTGTTTTCCGTTTCTTCCTGGTCCTCTGAGAGATTGGTGTCGGCTTCCTGATGCTCTGAGCTCCGTCTGTGCTGGTTCCTCCCTCTCAGCCTCCTTGGCTGTGAGGAGGTGATTGCTTTAAAGCAGGTGTTCTCAGTCTGGGGTCCAGACCCTGCAGGTTCCTGGTACAGTTTTGCTTTCACTACCCATGAGAAGGGGAAGAAAATTTGTTAGTGTCTGTCCTCCTACTGAATGCATGTCTTTCCTGCTTTGAACCCCTCCCCCTTCCTTAGAAACCCCTGCATTGGCTCCGACTGGGCAAGATTTCTGTGATCTGTAGCCCCAGTTCTCTTCACTCAGGGCTGGAGTCATCCTCTGAGTTCAGCCCAGCCAGTTGTATTCACTGTTCTTGTGGCTGAGGGGCACCCTGAGTTCAGCTCAATCCGTTTTTCACTTGTAAATGGACATTCTGATCTCCCCAGTTCTTAGAGGAAAACCTGGCTTTCAGGATGGCCGTGTGGCTTGGAACTTGGGAAAGCAACTTAGATACTGAGTCTGGGCCTTTCGGCGCAGGTCAGTCTCCAGACCCTGAGTCCTGAGCGTTAAGCTTTCACGGGAAGGTGGTAGCATGGTGGCTCCATGTGCATGTGTATGCATATGTGTGTGCATGCATTTATGTGTGCGTGTGTGTATGTGTGCATCTGTGTATGTGTGTGTATGTGTGTGTGTTGCATGTATAAAAAGGAAATAAATGCATCAGCTGAATGTTCCAGAAACAATGTCCCCTGTATGCCTGCCTCAGTATGCTTCCGGTCTCTGCGGTCCCTGACATGTGCCGTGTTCTCTTGCAGATTGGCGGCAGGAGAAGTTCCAGGCCTGCGAGTGAGTGTGTTTTTTCTGGGTGCGCCTCCTGCTGCCCCACGACTTCTGGCCTCTCCTTCAGTTCTGTGGTGGGACAGATAGTGGCCCCAGCAGTGGTGGCGGGCTGGGTGGCGAAGGTGATAGCACAGAGCTGGGGCTGGGGCGTGGCTGGTATTGGGTGCTGAATAGATATCCCTCACCCATCGAGTCCAGGCTGGGCCTCAAGGGCCCTGAGACATAACCAACCCCGAATAGGTCCTGTGATTCCTTCTCCTGCTTGGAGGGCCATGGGGTTGCGTCACAAGGCGCTCGGCTCAGGAGGCTGCCTCCCCCTGCAGCTAAGTGTGGGGGTGGGGGAGGTGTGCCCTTGTTGGGGTGGGGGAGGCCTTGCATGAGTGGCCCTCTCTCTGCAGGGCCTGTCACTCTGGACCCAGGCTCTGCGGATTCCAGCCTTGTTGTCTCTCATGAGAGGAGGAGAGTGACCTTGAAGGAGACCTGTGAGGATTCTGGCAGCAGCAGCAGCGTCTTGGGCCTGGAGGGCATCACAGCAGGGCGCTGTCACTGGGAGGTGGAGGTCCCCGATGGGGAAGGAAGCGAGTGGGTTCTGGGGGTCTGCCGGGAAGATGTGAAAAGGACAGGCTGGTACACAGAGTCCCTAGAAAAGGGGTTCTGGGTTGTGGGGAAGTTTGAAGCTGGATTTTGTCCCTGCACTAAGGATGTCACTCCTTTAACCCTGAGGCAGCTTCCTCGCAGGGTGGGGGTTTTCCTGGACTACAGCAAAGGGGACGTCTCCTTCTACAATATGACAGATGGCTCCCACATTTTCTCCTTCCCTCGGGCTTCCTTCTCCGGGACCCTCTTTCCATACTTCAGGTTGAAGTCAGGAGTTGGGTCCTTGACCATCTGCCCCATGGTGGGTGCGCCTGCGGGGCTCCCTGTGCCCCTTAACAATTCTCCTTGCGAGGAGCCTCTGAGCCCCCCAGGCTCTAGTGCTGATGGGGCTGAATCTCCATTACTCCCCCGCAAAGGGGAGGCCCCGCCCCGCCACTGTCCCTGACCCCTCACTAAGGCGCTTCCTGGAGCTGCAGCCTCTCCTGGCAAAGCCTGGGAGGGAGACTGAGTGCAGAGCCCACCCGCTGCGAGCAGAGCCCCACCCCCTGCATGCAGAACCCACCTCCTGTGAGCAGAGCCCCA